GCAAAGTGGTATATATTTTTAATTAATATTTTATATATATTGCATACAAGTCTATATCAATGCATTTTGAACAATTTTAACGTCATTTTATTTGTGAAACAGTTATTCTCATATCATACGTATGCTCCTTAAATAGTTCTAGCCAATGTAGATGTTTTACCTTTCCTGGGCAGCAAAACATAAAATATTCGCTGCTGGTTGGAACAAAAATTAAATCACTTAGGGGCGGCGGGCGGGTAAGAAGCAATGTTCGTTTGCACGGGGTTCATGGCACAACGCATTAACCACTGTGGCATTGCTCCACCCAGTGCTATGAATGTAAACACGACAAAATATGTTTGCAATGCCGATATGGTGGTGTAGAAAATACATTTTTCGTTTTTACATTTTACTATTATTGCATTAATTAAAATAAATGTTGCTTCATCTTTGACTCCTGTATTCGCTTTGTTTTGCCGTGTACTTGTGCGTCGTTGTTATACTTTTGAGTTCTGTATTGGAATTGTGCTCCTGGCATCGTGCCACGTGATGAAGAATCGATTTATAAATCTCACGGGGCAAGGCACCCGGTATTTACGAAAATGGCTGCGAACGACGTTTTTTGTTTACAGGAATACACCCGAAAATATCCTTGAAGTGGTCGGTTTTTTAAATATCATTGACCACGGCAGGGTCATTGGCGAGGAACTTTCGCCACACACTCTGCTGCAAGACTGTTTGTCACGTTAGTGTCAAACCAATATTATTTTCTTTCTTCTGAGCTGGAATTTAGCCAAATTAAGTGTGCAACCAAATTGAATGTGTTTTTTTTGTGTGTATATTCATTATTGATGGGTCTGTGGCCCATCGACTCATTCTACTTGAGCACCCAGTTTATTCAAGGATGGCTGAAACCCAGGTTCGAACTCAGTACCTCAGCGTGCTCTGTCCTCTGAGCCACCTCTCACCACATTTCAAGCTGCTTTATTCTTTAGGTATTTTTTTTTGCAGTTTCTCTTCTTTTTTTTAACCGAGGGCTTTCTTTTGCAAAAGAGACGTTTATTCTCAACGAGCTCTCCCACCTGGCGATAAGCAAAGGGCCACTGACGAAGATGACGACCGTGCGTTAAACAACCTTACAAGGACCGCGACGATCGACTAATTTGACTTCAGGCAGAATTATTTTTTTTACTTGTAAAATGCCCTGCTGTTTGGTTTTCATCAAGAGAATTATAACGGAATGATAGATGCAACTGTTAGGTCATAATGTGTCCGTGATACATAGTTGCGATGCTACACAAATTGCTCTCGTTTATCAACCACTGCTGTGATATCAGAAGTTTTTAGAGGTTCTTGATAAAAGATAAACATTAAATTTAATTTAAAAAAAACTGTTCCGTTAAACGAAATTCCTCGAGTTAAAGTTGTTATAATATTGCATTGCTGTATTTGTGGGACAACCCCTCAGCCCTTAAGTCCTAATTATGGTGCTACTTCACACACACACAGATCATCATGTTTTCAAGCAGGAGTGTTAGGATTACACTGACCACCAAACCACACATTCACATTGGAATTCCCAACACACCATGAGTACATTCTCTCGAGTATGTAGTTTGCGTCACTGATTTATACAATTACATTCTTGAAATACTCTCAGCTAATACTTTGAATGTTTTTGGCGAAAAAAATACCCCCTAAATGTAAATGTTACTACAAATTGTAAATATCCAGTAAGGTTCAATAAGTTATAGTAATGCCATCATAAATAGAATGTAACGGACCTGTGAAATCAACATTTTTTTGCCTGACCAAAAAAAACATCTACCAAAGGCTTTGTTTTTCTTAGGTAAAGAAATGGACCTTTTAACTTTCTTAATTTACTACTTCATACTAGCACAACATTTTTAGAGTCAATTTGTGGAATGTTTAAGAATGTAGGAAGGGGTATAGAATTTAACACGTAGCGGGCTATTCAATGAACAAGGGGAGTTGGGTGTGTGTGGGGGGGGGCTAGGATGGAAACAAAACAAAAAAGAGTGAAATTGAGAAAGAGGGGAAAATCCCAATCTGATTGTGGGCATTAACCTCAGCACGTGTGCCGCTATAATCGGGCAATGCGATAAATACCCCTTTAAATTGCCATCCAAAAGGTCAAGTGATCCATGTTTAGGTCGGATGTGGTGGCAGAGACAGTGTGTGAGAATTGCGGGGCAGGCTATTGCACAACGGTGACCTGTGCTGGCCGTTCGTCATTCCGGGCTTGTGATCTAAGGGCCTAAGACTTCAGAGCTGAGACTGGGCGGTAGTGAGGGAGGTTTGGCGGTTGGGTGGGTTGTTGAGGGGGGTGCATGAACTGGGGTGGCGGGATGGAGAGTGGGGGGGGGGGTGTCTTGAGAAAACACAGAGTGTCTCAGACGGCTGGATCAAGTTCTGTCTGGAAGTGTGTTTTGTCTGCTCCTTCTGGTGAAATACAGAGCGGGCCTCTCAGGGTTCCGACAGGAGAATGGTGTCTGCAGTAGGGTGTCACAATGCAGCAGAACACACAGCCAACCCTACCCACCCACCAAGGGGCCCTCTGAAGCCATTTAGGGACCCCTAGATATTTTCTCTTTTATGCACCTACATTTATAGAAACGTTTTTTTACACTCGCTTCGCGATGACCTCTGCTCAACTTCACTGCGTGGCAAGACCTTTGCAAAAACAACACACTACCATCGAGTGTTAAGGTTTGACACTGATAGCCGGTCTGCAGCACTATTTACATTGCACAAGGAACACGACTTAAAACACAAAACCAACTTTGCACACAATTTCAAGTCAGGGGTAATGTATGTTTTTGTGTGTTTATAGTGAGCAACTTTCATTTTTTGTGCCATTAAATAATTTAAAACCTACAGCCATATTGCATTTCAAAAAATATATACGACCAAGTCATTATAATTCTTATGAGTTTCAACTTACGGTATGTGTCTATAGAATGTGGTATTTTTTTATCTCAAACAAAACCAACTATGGTAATTGTATAATTCTATTATATATATATCATTAAACTATACAAAGCAAATATGCGATGTGGATTTCGCAGATCGACTAAACACCACTGCACCTCAAGACACGGTGTAAATCTGTGCAACACCATGCAACGCAGGGAAGACAAGGGCATTCAAATACTAGTTCGCAAGAGAAGAGAGTCATGGGCATAAAATAATTTTTTGTATTTTTTCAACTAAGATTTTCTTTTACTAAAACACATTTTTTACATTTAAAGCATACCTATATTTTGAGAAGAAAAATAAGCAAACACGCTTCACCAGCGAGCTAAAGCCAACGCAAAGTGGCTGCGATTGTTCTGCACGTGACCTCCGTCGGCAGTTTGCGACGCACTGTGGGAATAAACTATGAACATGAGCCGAAGGCAATGAAACAAAAGTCAAGACCTGAGAACCTGCGGCTAAGAAAAGACGCGGCGAAGCTATTGTTGCGAGTTGATCTCTTGGAGAGCAGCTGTCAAGGCTTCCCTGTCCTTATTAAGATGAGTCTCGGCAAATGTATCTCTTCCTTTTGTGGTCTGTACGGATCGTCTCACATTCTCCTTCGGCTAATGTATAGCTCAAGAGGTGACAGGGCCCCTGACTTCCTCCTCCTTCAATCACCACCGGCGTACAACTTTGCCCTACAGCAGTCATCTCAACAAAATGAATCCAAAGCCATTCTTTGCAGAGATGGCAATTTGCGTGACCTTGCAGGCCTCAGGAAATAATTACGTACAGTACTTGGGTTATTCCTAACTAGCAAGTGCATTTGGTTGGTTTGCACAGCTATAATCACCATTAACGTCGGAGAAAAGAGTTTGGGGGGGGGGTGGATGGGGTGGGGGGCGTAAAACTTTGCAAGCCAACATCACCCTCTGGCAATAATGAAATCTGATCTGGGTTAAAAATGGCTCCGTTTAGGGCCTTCAATCTTGCTGCATCTGTCATGATTTGACCTTACTTGACTAACTGCGGCACCGCGAGGAACTCTGCGCTAACGGCGCAATTACACACGTTCGCAAAATGCAAAGCCGTCGCGTTGCACAATCAACAGACCGCACGTAGATTTGGTGGCCGTGGCTCGCGTTGGTATATGTTTGCCGCAATACCAAAATTTGTCAAACGGATTAAAAACAAAAAAATGGGCGATTCAGATTACACGTCCAGAGATCCGAGAGCACGTTGAAATAATCTTGATTTGAAGCTTTCGTGACTGCAGGAATCCATACTCTGTGGTTCTTTCGGTAAAGTCACGTAGGTATTAAATAAAATTAATCGTAAATTATTGTATGCCTACGTGACTTTACCGAAAGAACCAAAGAGTGCACATTGAAGTACCCGACTCAAAGCGAATAAATCAGCAAACGAGCAAAAAACTAAAAGTGCATGAAGTCAACACCTTTGCCTACTTTCAAGACCGAAAAGTTTTACAAATGTTTCTTAATTAAATCGCGTCTGTGTCCGCCGATTTGTGTGGGACGTAACCCTAGCAGCAGCGGTGGGGGAAAATAGTGCTGTGGCACTTGCGAGCAATGCAGCTAAGATGTCCATATGCCCCCCCACTACCCCCCTGTTGTGTGCACGCATCAAGGTGCAAAGCCTAAATAAATGTCGCTCTGACCGCAGGACACCGCCACAAAATCAAACGCAGGCTTCCGCTCGTGCACGTTAAGATATTTAAGCTGGGTAATGACTTCAAAAATACACCGCAGTGGCAATAACTTGAGTAAATGCATCCAATGACCAGGTTGTCGCCCCCATTAGTTTCTCTTCCAATTGCTTTGAGATATATGGAGAGAGAGAGAAAAAAAACACACAGCGGCAATGTTTATGGCAAGGAACGTTGCACACAAACTCATGAGGATCTGTGCTGCGTGCGTGCGTGCTCACTGCAATGCACCAGCTCGCCGATATACATTATCGTATTCGAGCGACGTAATTGAGTGTAAAAATGTAATTTGTGCAAATATTGAAACGTGCATATGTATTGTTTAAAAGAAATAATTAAAATTGGCACCGACAAAACAAAGTCCACATTTAGTTAATAAAGCGCTGCTACATGTGCTTTCTGGCTCACTCCCCGATATATTGGCATACTGCAACAATTACCGTCATGTGAGCTGGGAGGTCTGAATGAGAGCAGAACACCCAAACCCGTGCGTGCACCGCGGGGCCTACAGGCAGCTGCCAGTCTGCGGAGAAGCAGTAAATTATCCCTGTGCAAAGACGGAGGCCACATGGAGAGAACAAACAGGATTAAAACACCCAATGCCAAACAAAGCCACCAACTCTCTCGTAGCTTCACAATTAGTCACTGTGGGATATACATCGACATATGGCAGTCAAAAAGTTTTGAGAATTAGCAATGAAGATGCGAATTTTAAGCGGTTGCGTTGTGACCTAACACGAGGTCTCCTTTATGCACGAAGGGTATGTAATATTGAAGTGTGCTGCTGTATGGGGTGACTATTAAGAATGAGTGCACTATTTTGCATATCCTAACAGAAAGCTTCAACAGCCCCACATATCGACACACAATACCGCATCTGCAATGAGATGATGGTTATAAGTTGCCAAAATAAATCAAGGAAAATAGAGTAGACAATGTTAATGCCGTATTGCAAGTTTAAGAAACAATTATCATAAATATATAACGTAAAGAAATTGTAAGTCTGTTCATAATTAAGGATGCACTGTTGTATGAATGCAGCTCAAAGTATTATTAATGCAGGCCAACCTGCTATTGATTGCCATTCACTCAATATTAATACTTCCAAAGCAGTAATGCTGGTATTGCTGAAATTATTCAATAAAAAGTGGTTTTCATTACCCACCAACCTCCCAAAAATCCACCCCAGTTATTTAAATCAATTACGCTTCCAAAAGTAAAACACATTACATTGTTTCACATCAGGTGCAATGCGGCAGAAATTGAGCCTGAACCCTGCAAAAGTTGGTTTGAGAGCAAGTCAAATAAGGACAAGAGGCAGTCACCTAGACGATTGTTCAGGGTGGAATTCAACGGCGTGCCACATTCATGCACCTACAAAAGATTTTGTAAACGTTTAAAGCTACCACATGAAAAATGAGTCATAGCAGTTGGACCCCACAGCCTCAAGTAATTACAGCTCTTTTTTAGAAGCGGGATGTCACGAGAGGTTGGAGCTCTCATCAGTGTTAAGGACAACTGGCATTAGCATTACCAATAATGTTTCAGTCTGCTGCAAAAGGAAATGGGTTGAAACATGCTTTCATTCACGGAGGCAGAGACATGCTTTTATGTCATTTACATCGTTCAAACTTTTATTAAGTACTGCCTTGCTGTAGGGATAAAAGGTCTTATGGCACAAAAATATAACCCAATATAAACAATTATACACCGCTATACTATGAAGAATTTATCAACGTGGCTTGTAAGGAAATTAGATTAGTGCACCCCGCTCGCTAATATGAACGTATGCCCCTCAATTTTATTTTAAATGAGATCTATTTTAACCCCACGTTTTATCGCTACAATTTTCTCGAATGCATTTTTCTCACTTAAAGTTATTTGTGCTCTTGCAACGCATTCAATGCGTGTGAAAAGAAGAAAAAAATCGGAAAAGTGGAGCTCTCTAAATTTTGCATGGCGATAAAAAAAAATATGAAAAGCAGGTTTTGCCAGAATAGGTTCACATCAGGTCACGCCACGAGAAACTGCTGTGGATATGATAGAACTGCAGGCACATCCCAAGCTGACGTGATATATGTAGATGTTTTTGCCTGTGAACGCTATCTTTTCTTTGTTTTGTGTTAAACAGATTTATTAAAAATTCCCTGAAAACTGGTACGGTGGAATATTTATAATTCATCTGCAAGCGCACAGCATTCGTCCAAAAGAAGTAACTATGCATTTGACTAAGAAGTAGACGTCTATTGGAGTTGCCTCACCTCAACTCTTGTAATCCAGAAGTGTATAGTGTGAATTGTCTTCAAGGCAAAATTACTCAAACAGCAGTTTCAATTTCTCTGAAGATAGTAAATGGCTGTTATACCAAACAATAATTACGTTTCTAAAAAATAAGTTAAAAAAAATCAGACCCAATGGATCGTGTTTATGTATATTCAGTAACAACACAGATCCAAGGTGTTCTGAGCAAGCTCATGAAGAGCACTGTCTTTTAAACATTACAAAACAAATAGTACAATTAGGTTCCCATTTTGCACACAATTAATTTGACGCTGTGCAGATTCTAAGACATCCGCTGGGCAGACGATCACTGCCGTGCAGAACACTGCACATTACGTGAAGCAGCCTGACATTTTGCTCAAGCCAAAATGTTTAGTGGCACAAATTGCAATGCTGCTTTTAGAAGTATAGAGCTATGTAACGTCACGCATGGAACCTCCTTGGCTTTGTACTGTGAGCCAGACAAAAATAAAAGGTACTTTTACTAACATATACAACATATTAAGCGTGTACAATATATAAATGTACGTGGTCAGCACTTAGAAAATTTGTACGATTTTAACCGCACCAAGATACACTGTTTTTTTTATTACCATTTCTAGCAAATGTTACTTTTGTCCAAAAACATGCGCAGCTCATTTGTTTACGCAGCAGAATGGAGGGTTTGGATTAGGTAACAATAAGGTTCTTTTTTGAAAGCATAACTTTCATGTGTAGCTGTTGTGATTAAACATGACAGCGAGGCAATTCTGACTTTCTATGCAATACATGCATGTCTGAAACACAATACTGCCCGAGAGGTACCTTTACAATGTCGTTTCCCACACAGGGCATGTGCAGTTAGAATAAAACTAAATCCTGCAATTTCAAATAAATACTAAAAAAACCTGTCTTTTAAAATCAGTGTAAAACTATATATATTCAAAAAAAATGTTTTGTTGTTGTTTATGAGAGTGTTTGCAAGGTCCCAACTTGTGTTATTTAACACAAGAACGATGCACATATATATGCACAAAGCCCCATTGTTAAAAACAATCAAAGTAGCTGGAAATAGATGAAAATAAATTAGACATGCCGCAAAAGCTCAAGTTTTCAATGCTGGGTCTTTAGTATTGTCATTAAATTAGAGCAACACATGTGGAAAAAAGTTAAGAGATTGGCAATCTCAAGCCCGATATGATCCCATAAACAATCAGTAATATTATCAGGCCTGCAATAATTGATGAATACATTAAAATTGATTATGTTAATAATCAATTACAACTATAATTGGTCGATATCAGTCCTCGGGCACCAAAGGGAATGAGTAATTGTCCTTGTCTGTCTGTCCGCCCATTGCCATGGCATCTATTGAGCCATTTCACCAATCTTGGTCAAATGTTAAGAGATGTTCCCAGACCACAATAGCTCATAGTATTGATTTTTGTGTTACTTTAAAAGGTCAAAGGTAAGGTCACAGCCATCAAAAAACAGTTGCTGTATGTTCGTGCCCAAATGATCGGCGCCCCAGGTTCATGTTATATTGCTTTGATTGAGTTCAGTTGGAGGTGCAAATGTCAGTGCTGGAAGGTCAATGCCGTAATGTTGCATCACCACAATCCCCACGCGCAAAGCAGATGATTGAGGTGTTTGATATCTGCTACGTGGACGTGTCTGTATTAGTGTAGCACGGGCAGCCGAGTTCGCAGCAGCCCTTTTTAAACGCTGTACTCCATTTCACGCCACCAATTCTCCCCCCCCCCCGTGCAGATTTACGCGACTACCGAAGAACAGATGCGTGCAACGTGCTTTATCTATTTTAAATCTGAACACAGATCAGTAGACATGGGAGTTCGGAGGATGGAGTAAGGGGGGGGGGGAGAGACACCGCAAATGTCATTTGAGAACCACTGCTTCACAGCAGAGATTATGTTCATATACCTCTGAGTGTATGTACATATACCTCTGAGTGTATGTACATGCGCAATTTTTTTTTGTCAATCCACAGTTGAAGGAGTATTGCCTCGCATGTGCGTGTCCTCACGGGCCATTTAACCAAATTTCACCCAGCTAGTCAGTGCCGCCTGGAGGTATGGAGCATAGATGTGAATGCATAGAAGTACTGTACAATAATATAATGTGCTGCACTGCCATCACCCCACAAGCCTTTTGGCAACCTGTTGGTGCATGGTGGTCATCCATCCAAGCACTATCCAGACACCAACCTGCTTAGCTTCCGATACCTGATGAGGTGGAGCGCATTCAGCGATTTGGTCAGAGACGTCAAGTATATACTGCACATAAAACGCGATTTAAATGTTGCTGTTTAGGATGGAGTTTAATGCTTAAGGGGCTGTTTTAATTCCCCGTCCCTGTACAATTGACCAAGTCGTTAAATAACTTTAGTAACAAGTTAACAAGAATTAACATAAACCAACAATCAAAATGTGTCTAGAACTTATTTGGCACCGTATGTAGCCAACCGTGCTATCAGAGGTGCGATATCAAATACTCCAACATGGTATGTGCTGTCTGATAATACTCCTACATAACCACATTGGGGAGTTGTTGTTTTTGTTACACATGCAAAACAAATACGTTAAAGAAAAAATGTTAAACTTTATAGAAGCCATTGTCAATGCAGTACACCTTTTAAATTAACATGCTGACGAAATTACAGAACAAAAATCACCATTTAGTCACACTTGGGTAGTTCACACTTAGGTTTAGCATGTTTCTTGTAACCGTGGTATGAAAGTTCGGCATGTGGTTGACCCCGATCTGAAGAACACTTGCTTACTCAATATTAGCATCACTCACACCGTCGCTTGCTTTCTGCCAGGTTGCGGTGATGAAAGACTTTGCGGGCAACTACACCAAATGGAATTTCGTTTGCTCGCAGTTGCAATGCTGTTTTTCTTCACAGATGCGTCGACACGCTCGGTTTCCTCTCCCCCGCCCTCTCTTTCTTCCCCTTCAGAAGAATCCCATGAGGTAGAGGGCTGTGGAGTTAGCCGGTAAGACTCACACTGGAACAGACGGGCAGGTGCAAGTGGCCATAGTTGCTGAGAGTGTGAAGAGCGGCAGAGAATGTGGACGAGGAACTGGGTTTGGTGTCTGAAGAGAGCATCCAGCAACATCAGTGCGACTGCTGCATGGGGCATTGCCAACAGCTGCAGCAGCCAGGTAGTACCATAAACAAGTAAACCCGTAAAAACAAAGTTTTTCACTCTAAATCCTTTATATGCGTGGCGGCTAGAGTCCTCTCGTCCTCTGGCTTGAGATGGCTGCAATTGGTAATTAAATATTTAATTTGTTTTCCCTAAACAGTGTAAAATTTTGGACAAAAATTTTTCACGAAAATTAATTGTCACACACAACGAGTCTGTGTGGAAAATGTCAGCTCGATTGGATCACGAGAAGTGGGTTAAAAAACGACCGAAAGATTTGCACGGTCGTAAGCAAGCAAGCAAGCACGCAAGCAAGCGAACTTAATATAAAGGATTTAAAAAGCCCATTTACCTGCATTCGCAACTTTCATCGAGGACCACATTGAGCACTTTTGAATATATGACCACAGTTTCACTTACAAGTCCTGAACTTCATCCCATATCTTGACAACCTTTAAACAATACCACAGTTGAATCCACCTTTAGTCATTTCAGATTTACAATGACAAGCATTCATTTAAACTGGCATGAATACTTATTTCGCCGAACAGATTTCTAAATAAACGTTTACCATTTCAGAAAATGTGCGAGGTGTGTAATATGTATTTGCTTGTGTCTTTTACTTTTCAGATGTAAAAATAATAACTGGCTTAAAATTAATGTGTGTGCACAACGCATCATGAATCCACAAAATGTTAAGAGTCAGAAATGACAAAGTGTATGTTATTTTAAATAATATTAATAATACAGAAATAAATCAGCACAGTACCACAAAGTTTCCAACTTTTCAACATTGTACGTTTCTTCATCCAGAGATTAATTTCTAGCAAGTTCCCCTAACAGCGTGACAACACCCCCCCCCAACCCCCCTGCCGTCTTTTTGGATTCACCCCCTCTAAATGCAGCAGCCCACCTGGTACCAGACAATGCGAACATCTGCGCTGCAAATTGAGTGTAAAACACCAATGTCAACGGCGGCTCCATTCCCTCGTGGGAGGCGCGCGCGCCTGTGCTGGCCCTTACAAGCGTGCTCCAGCATGCTGGTATGCACAGGTGCTTTCACAGTTATTGTTACAATATTTCACGAGTGAACAAAGAGCACTAATTGGGGGCAATTGAGGACTCCGATAATTAAGGATGCATGGGCGCATACCAACGCTCAACTAGTGCACTGTAACGCACAGGCTGGCTACGCTGTCTGCATAGAATTGGGCCTCATTAACAATTACAGAGCCCTGTGAGCTGCAGTGATGGGAGCAGACAAGGAGGGGGGGTGTTGAGCAAGTCTGGAAGCTATACATGAAGATCCCACTAGTAGAAAAACCTACAAAAATATAAAAGACGTTTCGAAGACGAAAAAATCCGACCACTATAGTTGGAATCCACCAAATAATAGCCCGTCAATCTAAGTGCTGTTATGTACACTGCACGCACACATATTCGCCAACATGGCAAACGGTCAATTTTACCCCAAGTCCACACAAAGACCAGAGGAGATTTGTTGCAATTTTAGGTTTCAGTCCAAGGCAGCTGCAGTCATTTCAAAAAATGTAGCAGGGCAATTGAAAGTGCCCTCTGAACTGCCGATGAAGTAATCTTCTGGAAGGAAAAAGCACTTCTTGTGGTCGTTTATCGTGTTGGTTTGCGGTTTTCTGAGTGCCACCATCGTCTCAAGGCCCCCATGCATGGATGAATAGTTCAAGAAGCGGTGTGACGAGGCCTCAACATACATTGTGATGTCTATGCACACCTCATAAAATCGCCAGCTTGCGGAGGCTCATCAGTCAAAGCAGTCCTGGGTATCCTCGAAAGATTCCGGCTCTCCGCCTATGCTGCCCTGTGCCTTTTCACTTGGGAAAAGAAAATATATGGGCAGCCCAAGCAGTTATTCCCATCGGTAGATCCCAACAAGAGTAATCACTTTGTCCTTGAGCCCTCGAGACCAAAAACTGTACGATATGCAATGCTAAAGAAGTGATAGTGGCATCATATCCTGCCCGTGATGAGGGCGCCATGAAGCTGTTCTTCTTCCAAGAGCTGGAGGAACTGACAGACGCCTTCTCTGACAGCTTCCAAGTCCTCAAACGAACACGGATGCAGGATCCACTTCTTTCCTTTAGCAAGAGGCTCCAACTCCAGGTACTTCTTGATCTGCATCAGAGAATAAAAGGCATGTGTGTGTGTGTGTTAATTGCTGCATTCCGATTTTTTTTAGATGCTTGCAATTAAAAGTTTCATTGTTAAGTAGCAAAAATTATCCCTGAGAAACTATAGTGTATTTTTTTGTACATATTTATTGCTTGAAAGAAATTTAGCAATGATGGAAATTCGGAAGTATGCCGTATATAAAGCACTGTTGCTAAAAAAACAAACACTATTTTTACAAAACAAATACAATTACATCATGCGTATTATTTTAGAGCACCTGCGTGTTGGGAAAATTGAGAACCCTTGATGAGCATAATGTTTTCATTGGATATTTAGCAGAAATTGGTTGCAAGAAGCACGCGCAACCAATGTGCGTAAAGTTACAATCCAATTAATAGCCGCGCAAATACATTAGACCTTCAATCAGCAATTTGCTTTTCGCAGCTGTTGTTGAATCGTTTTCAGCCTCAGTTTCACCAAGTGCAAAATTACTTCAAGTAACTTGAGAGCGTATTTCCAGACTTTCGAACATTTCACACCACATCCGATACACGTGCTGCGTGCAAATGCGTGCTCGCGAAACATTAACGCATACAACAACGGGGGGAATATAACACTATGAGACCTCTCCTTTACCAGTGGCAAAATATAGTAGTAGGTTTTTACCCTTTCAACTGGTACAAAAACTGACACCTTTATACAAGGTATCATGTTTGCAATAACCATAACACAAGCAGTCAAAATGCAAAAAAAAGAAACAACTCTGATGATGATAATGATATGCAGTCCTTGAAGTTGATTGGTCCACACCCGAGACAGCTTTTCTTAGAACCTAGTCTCCATTGGTGTTGGACCAGATGACGCCAAAAGGCGTATAACTCGAAGACAGCGCACTATCAGAGTATTGAGAGCTCGGGGTAAGCATTTACACTATGAGGGGAAACTACAAAGAAGAGCATTCAACAATGGCGGTCAGCCCACAAGGGAGTGTGTTGTGAGCACACAGCCTCAACAGTTGGATACGCATCAGGGCGGTATAACCCTGGATGCTGTACAAAACTTTTAACATTCAAATATCGTTTTATCGATTCTGACGCAAAATCCTCATGCCGATGTTGCTGCCAGGATTGAGCCAATTTGCCAAAGAACAGGATGCAAACAGAAAAAAAAAACTTTTGTTTTGAAAAGTCTGAACTTGTAATTGAATGAGGGGGGGAGTGGAGCGAGGCGCTCAGCGGGTAAACGAAAGTCAAATTGACCTACGCAAAGGAAATGCAATTTAAAATATGCATTCCCTACAAGTGTGTAAATGTCGAGGCACAATTAACCTGATTTTTTTCACCTGCACAAGTACTTCGCAATTAACTTCCTATGAGTGAACCAATCAATGGAGAATGTTTTTGTAACCGTTCAGGTATTAATTACGCAGGTGTGACGCACAGGCTACAAAACAAGACCGTTGCGAATTGGCACTTTTAATGAAGACGGTTTGTTTTGTTACCGTGGTTTCATGGGAGCATCGAGCTACAGCTTGGCGTGCACCGAAGAAACAGCGGAAAAGGCGGATTCGGTGGCCACAACGGCGTGAGAGCGGCGCGCACGCACGCACACAGGCCCTGTGCAGGCACGCACACAGGCCCTGCGCACGCACGCACACAGGCCATGCGCACGCACGCACACAGGCCATGCGCACGCACGCACACAGGCCCTGCGCACGCACACAGGCCATGCGCACGCACGCACACAGGCCCTGCGCACGCACGCACACAGGCCATGCGCACGCACGCACACAGGCCATGCGCACGCACGCACACAGGCCATGCGCACGCACGCACACAGGCCCTGCGCACGCACGCACACAGGCCATGCGCACGCACGCACACAGGCCATGCGCACGCACGCACACAGGCCCTGCGCACGCACGCACACAGGCCCTGTGCACGCACGCACACAGGCCATGCGCACGCACGCACACAGGCCATGCGCACGCACGCACACAGGCCCTGCGCACGCACGCACACAGGCCCTGTGCACGCACGCACACAGGCCATGCGCACGCACGCACACAGGCCCTGCGCACGCACGCACACAGGCCCTGTGCACGCACGCACACAGGCCCTTTGCACGCACGCACACAGGCCATGTGCACGCACGCACACAGGCCATGTGCACGCACGCACACAGGCCATGCGCACGCACGCACACAGGCCATGTGCACGCACGCACACAGGCCATGCGCACGCACGCACACAGGCCATGCGCACGCACGCACACAGGCCATGCGCACGCACGCACACAGGCCATGCGCACGCACGCACACAGGCCATGCGCACGCACGCACACAGGCCATGTGCACGCACGCACACAGGCCATGCGCACGCACGCACACAGGCCATGCGCACGCACGCACACAGGCCCTGCGCACGCACGCACACAGGCCATGCGCACGCACGCACACAGGCCATGCGCACGCACGCACACAGGCCATGCGCACGCACGCACACAGGCCCTGTGCACGCACACAGGCCATGCGCACGCACACAGGCCCTGCGCACGCACGCACACAGGCCCTGTGCACGCACGCACACAGGCCATGCGCACGCACGCACACAGGCCCTGCGCACGCACGCACACAGGCCATGCGCACGCACGCACACAGGCAATGCGCACGCACGCACACAGGCCATGCGCACGCACGCACACAGGCCCTGCGCACGCACGCACACAGGCCCTGCGCACGCACGCACACAGGCCATGCGCACGCACACAGGCCATGCGCACGCACGCACGCACACAGGCCCTGCGCACGCACACAGGCCATGCGCACGCACGCACGCACGCACACAGGCCCTGCGCACGCACGCACACAGGCCCTGCGCAATGGCAGGCGGCCGGGGGATGGGGGGCCCACTCGCCATGTGTCAGCTGTCCAATTGATAACTGCCACCCAGCCAGACATGCGCTTCACCAGACTGTGCAAACAGCTTCTAGACCATCCAATGAACTGCGCACCAGCGAGCCATCTGATTATGTAAAACTCTATCACTTATTGGCCAAAGCATCCGTGTGCAAGAAGCCACTTACTGACAGACACACACACATTGTTCGTACGCCATATTGAGTCCGGCATATACTCTCCCATTTTTAAACACCGATAGGCACACAGCTACAGCTACCTGTGCTGAAATTGCAAATATGATCATGCAAATCACGACCAAGTTAGCCCCTGGAGGCAGACACGAGCAAAAACTATTTTGCCGAGAGCCGTGTAAATGTACGGATGTTTCAGTTTCTTCGCGAGTGTAAACCTGCAAAAACGCAGGGTTTGTTAAAAGGTGTTAATAATACAGTCTTTGGCACGTTGTTCATTACGAAGTGTCGGCAAATTAATTTTCCCAAAAAAAAAACCTCGCGTTAAGATTAGGCTCAAGAAAGTAGAAGGCAGAAGGGATTGAGAGCCCGGGGGGGGGGGGGGTAGTGGTGGAAATAAAACAAAGAGGAGCAGGTGCAGGTCAGCGCAAGGACACGCACCCATCAATACTCGTCTTCATGCACACACGCCGCACTAAACTGTCTCATTTCAGGCAATGAGCCGTCTTCCCCGCCCGTGTAATAACCTCCAGCCTAATTATAACGTCTGCCCATCTGGTGTCTGCAATCCTCCTGCTGGCATATATGCCACGCCTAGCACAACACAGCTCTCCCCAAAGTTGTTGATCTCATCCCCCAATAATCATAATTGAAAGCCTTCATCGTGACAAGTTGCCAATTCATTTAATGTACTGGGAATGGTGCCAAGCAACGCCGCAATACAGACACTGTCTGAACAACTTGCTCTGCTATCTTTCCGAATTGTGCATGCAATGCGTTACAATAGATATTTCACTCAGCCACGCAGCTTTTTTTCAATGCAGGCTATATAGGTATATGAGGTAATTTACCACCATTACTGCACAATTGACTAGCACAGGAACAACATATTAACACTGGAATAAAAGAAGTATATACGGGTAAACATTTGTCATCAAAGTTCGATAAATTATTACGGCTAAGACCGACTTTTTTCTTAGTTTTCATTGAACTTAATTCCGTTACTGTAAGTAAACACGTCAAATGTGGCATTTAAAAAATAAATCTAATATACTCCATTGAGTTCGTTTTCGTGGGTCCACAATTCTGCTACATAATATGTATACACGTAATTTAGTTTGTTTAGCTCAAGTCAGATGTTTCGTATAACAACAGTGGTGAATAACATTGGTGAATAACAAAATGATCTTCCAATTGTGACATCATACTCAGGCACTGCCAAACACTTCAGCTGTGCTACAAACTCTTAAATCTTGACTTAAAAGTTGTCGCGACTGCAGGAATTCATATTCTTTGGTCTTTCGGTAAAGTCACGTAGATAGGTTCAAAGAAAATAAAAAAACAAAAAGCTACTATCTCCGTGACTTTACCGAAAGACCCAAGAATACTCCAAACTCTGGTGTCTGTGGTTTGGATGAGCCTGCAGCGTGCGTTATACACATGAAACACATTAGTTTCATGTCAAATGAAAAGGGGCCCTTATGAGAGTGAAAGGATAACAAAATCAATGGAAGTTTAACGGCTCTCACAAAAATAATAACAGTCTTATTAGAAATGTATTTCTTGTGAAAAATTTAAGCTTATCTATTGTTTACTTGAAAATAAAAAATAAAATATTTTTCAAAAAACCTCATTAAGTTTTACAACATTCACATTTTGTCCTAGTCAATGGCTGATTAGATTTTTTTTTATACGCTCCAGTTTTTTTCAGCCACTCGACCGTGCGTTAGATAGATCGCACTAAAGTTTGGTAGCTGAAGCTCATGAGATCTCTCAACCATCCCCAAAAGACGAAGAGTATCACTTACGGGAACGCACGCCGCCTCTCGTAGCACAGAAGTGGGTCATTGTGACCACCGCAGGCATCACACGCACACCCAACACAACTAATGAACGGAACTGCTGACAAGTGT